ACATGCCACTTGTTCTGTTTGTTCTACCTTCTTTTTGGTCCCAACGTTTTGAAAGCTAATAATTACTATAAAAACTGCATGCTGTAGGTCACAGTCACATCTACACGTCCCATATTTTATAGTACTGTGAAATTCAGGGATCAAATATACATATTTACAATTATTATCCTAGTTGCATGCAAAAAGCACATATTCTAAATGCATTGACAAAATCACAGGTATGCAAAACTGAACAGATGAAGGCATAGCAGAGCTCTTGCCAGGGAAAGACACTGAAAGATGCTTAAAGGAATTGGGTACCCACTTGGTGCAAATTTTTTTAAAAGGCTCTGCCATGGTGCCTGAAAAGGCTGGGAGGAGAGCAAAAAGAAAACAGTTATGTCTCTAGTGTACTTTGTTCAAAATTAATTTTCCTCTTTCCTTTCTCTAGGAAATTTGTTTCCATTGTTTGGAATGTGTTTGGGTGGTTGTTGGGTTCTCCCTTCCCAAAGGGAAAGGCAGGAAAAGAAATACACTAAAAAATGAGAAAAACATCAATTGTTTTGTGAGGGTTTTTTCTTTAGAAAAACCTAAGAAACCCATACACACCCTGGGCAGAAAGCCTGAAATCAGGTGTTCATATCTAGAGCTACACTTTACTCTCTGTTTTAATTGCCTGCACTTGACTGTATCTCTTTAAGAAAACAGGAACAAATCCAGGAACCTTTGTGTTGTTTATTCAGCAGGGGATTAGCCCAGCTTGATAGCCCTGAGCTAACCCCTGCTGCAGGATGGATGGATGACTTCATCACGGGATATGCCAGTAGGATACAGAGGTATACCCCAGAAACAGGGACAGCTGCAAGGGGCTTCATCTTTCTGAAGAGCAACTTAAAGAGGAGCTCTGCTGAGATTCACCATTTCCCTCACCAAAGCTCCTCAAAGGGGAATTTACCATATCAACTTCTTGATCTAAAAAAATTTCCATGGGGAAACTGTTTGATGCAGACTCTCTGCTCCTATCTCCCAGCAACTTGAGAGTGGTAACACCTCTCTTTTTCCATTTTGAGAGGTGAACAAATAAAACTTCTTAAAACCGCACTCAGTTATGCTTCCTGATTCAACGGCACAACAGAAAAGTACCAATGTGTGCCCAGAACTGCCAGTATGAGAAGTCTGCAACACAGACAGGTAATTACAACATACCAGAACAATGCTCTTCACCCAGAAATTGCCACAATTCCTCCATCACAGCCTCATGCCACTCCCCAGCTATGCCCATCTCTGTGGCACTTTGCAGCTCTCTCACACTGGCACAGAATGGGCACTGCAAACACTGAGGGCACTGGAACCTCTCCTACTAATTGGAGTTTTGGCTTTGCTGGGTTGTTTTTCTTGGGGAATGTAGAGAGAAAGCATCAGTTTTTCCTATAATAATATTTGGGCCGAGAGTTAATTCTCAGCAATTAAAAACAAAACCCAAACCACATTTTTTCCATAAACAGCTAATGGTCTTGGATCTGTCAATACAACTAGCACATAGCTGATTTTTCAGAAAATAAAAAGCATGCCTGCAAGAAGACATGACAAATAGTAACAGCTAGTTTAGAAACAACTTATTTTCACAAATTCCTTCACTTTATAAAGGCTTACAGGTTTCTTGAAACTTTTTTTTAAAGAGACAGAACATTACATAATGTACAGTGCAACATAAGGATTCGTCTTCTATACCGCAGTAGCAGAGTAATGGAAAGAACAGCAAGATTGGACCCTTTGGGTTCAAGAAGAAGAATTAATTGTATTTTATAGGCTAGAGATCATGCAGCACATCACAGAGGACAGGCTTAGCCAGCAGGAAGCAAACATCTTTCACTTAGTGAAGGAGAAAGGGCTCTGACCAGTATCATTTCCCACTGATGCCACCACTGTTCATGTTGTACCACAAATGTGCAGTTGTTAGAGGACAGGAACTACCAGCTCAAGAACATAATTGAGAAAGACAGGATACTTTAGCTTGGATTGTGAAGAGATAATACAGCTTTTATTAGCTAAACACCACTAACAGTGCACTGAAGTTGGAGATAGATGCTGCTCTGAGTTCAGCAATCAGAAGGTAGATTATGCCTGTGTAACACCAAGTATGTTGACCACAGAATATGTGCTCTGCTCTGCTGGTGATAACTACCGGCCAGGCAGACAGGCAGGACGCAAAGAAACTTTCTTTGCCAGCCCAGATCTGGGAAAAGGAGGATAAAAGACTCAGGATTGGGTGCTTGACATCAAACATGCTGGATCATTTTTGATTGAAAGCAAAAACTGAGAACTCCCAGGCAAAGGAGATCCCTGCTGTCTTCTACTCCTCTTTTCCAAGAGCTGGTGAGGCAGTCAGGAATACCCCAGAAGGAAGACAACTCCAAACCTAAGCTGGCATTTAAAGCTCTTCAGGAAATTACATAAATCCAGGGCAGCTCCTCAGCTTGTTTAATTGACCATCACTGGTAATTCCCTCCTGCCTTACCTGCCTCTTTAGAGAAGGGAGCACTTGCATGCAGAGCAGGTTGTACTAGAGGCAACAACCAGAAGTCAGTACACTTCTGCTGCTCATGCCACTAGTTACTGAACAGCTAAGATGTCATCAAGAAAAACAGGGCCTCAGCTTCTGCAGCTCAGCAAGGACACAGCAGGAGAAATGCTGCTGGGGAGACTCCTTTCACACCCTGCAAGCAGCAAAGGCACCAGGTACACAAGGCTCTTCCCTGGCCCCCAGGAATGCAACCACACTTGGTATCCTACAGACAATTAAGTGTGGGACTTGCTGACAGAGGATGCTGAGGATGTCACAGGCTGCAAAGTGGCTGTTTTATTCTGCCCTGAGTTTGTCCATGAAGGAAAATTACATAAAGTATCGATTTTGGTGAAAATTTTCTGATTCACAAACAGCCAAAAGAGTGTACTAGAAAACTATCATTACACATCTATGCTGGGAAGATGAGGGATCTGCCATTAGCTGCTGTAGGAGATGCAGAGCTGGTTCAGCCTGGCTGCTTCTCAGCATGAATAGAGGCTGCTTTGTCATCTGCAAAAACCACCTTCAAAGTACATAGAGTCTCTGACCAAAAGCACCACAGCATTTGCTGTGTTTTCACCACTGACAGTCCTATGAACAGGACTTGGTACTCCAACAGCTTACTGAATACATGCAACAGACAATGATTTCTTTTCCAGCTGAGCCAGTAAGTTCTCTGCAGTACCTGAAACCTCCTTATCCAGAGGGCTACAACTGCAGGGGGTATGCATGAAGTTCAAGTACCTTTTCCTCATCCCAGGAAATTCACCTCCAATATCTTAAAAACCACACGCCGCTACCTCACCCCCACAATATCTTCCAGGCTACACGTTGGCAACGGGACCTGTGGGAAAAGCTTTTCCTCACTATTCTGAATTTGCGAGATGCACTTAAAGGGCAAAAACGGTCTGCAAATATTAACAAGTAGGAATGAGTATGGGGAGGATTTCTAGGCACTACAACTCACTGTAGAAGCCTCTCCATGGCTGGGGCTGTATTGGTTTTGCCCAGGAGGGATGTATGAGACCCATGGACAGTTTGACCTTTCTGCAAATGTTGTTAAAACAACAAACAGAGCCGAGGCAGATGGTGAAGCCAATTTCCAAGAAGACATTTAACCCATTCTCTGCCTCACAGAGATGAAACTTGCCATGTGCACAGGTGTGTGACACTTGGTTACTTCTCAGCTCATAATCTACCCTGCTAACAACAGGTATAAAAGTAAAAATTCACTCCTTCCTGTGAGCTAAGGAGGTGTTGGCTGTGCTATGCAAAACACTTTTCCTGAAATGCCAGTGTAACCTATGCACTAGAAAAGGATGAAATCTGTGCTCTCAGTAGAGAAACCTCTTGGCTGTCAGACCACTGAGGGGGACACAGGTAAAATCTTGAATCCAGGTACTCCCCCTCCCAAAAGAAGAAAGGATCAGTCTGAATGTACAAGATATCAGAAATACCCTCTTCCTTTCTCATTCAGGGGGGACAATCACCACAAAATATTAAAAGCTTCAGATTTCTACAAGACAGAAAACTAGAGAAAGTTTTGAACAGCCACAAGCCTTGAACTGCTCCTCCACAAAGTGGGATAAGTGTGCAACTGAAGGGCACCTGTTCCCTGCCTCCCAGGCACAGTTTAGTGCAAGAGGCAAACTTGGAAGCAGCTGCTGTTTGAAAGGTGCTTTTGTTCAACACGTACAGTTGTTCTGAGAAAGGTAAAATTACTGTAGGGGGGTTGTGCGGTGGGATATTCCACTCTTTGACAAAAGCTGTCATTGAGTCAGAAGCCCACAACAGGAACAATGATACAGGATTACAGAAAGGGGCAAAGGGGAATAGGGATGTTTATGAGAGATAGAGGAAAATTTCCTGCCAAATGTTTTTACAGAAAAATTCCTAGTGGTCTTCAAAACCATGCAGCAGGAAATCCTTAGTTTTTAATCTGACCAGCTCAAGGCATCCACTTCATAAGAAAACATCAAAATCTCAAATATTCCAATATTCAGCTATTACTCTAAATCAGCAGTTTCCAAAATCAATGAGTCACTAGAATTAGTTAAGCATCTTGCAGAACCACATCAGAACTGAGAGCAAGTTTCTTAAGTTCAACATTTCCAAAGACCTCAAGTGATCCAAACTGATGCATTAACTGTCTGTTAATTAAGCATTCCCAGCTCTTGAAAAACCAATCAATAAATTTTCCTTCCTCTGTCACAGGAATAACAACTGGTTTTTGCAATGGTATACAATGCCACTGCACTCAGTGAGCTCTAGTCTGCTGCTTTAAAGCAAAAGCAGGAAGTCAGAACAGAAAATTCCTAAGAAGAAACTCTGCTGAGACACAGCAACTTTCAAACTCCTTCAGACTTTCTTCTCCAATAACTCCTTGCCCAAATGAGAGAGACTTTCTTCCCTCCCCTCCACCCCATTTTCTCTCTCTGCAGGTGTCCCCAAATACCTTGAGTGGCAGGACAGTATTGCTCCCCTTCCCTGGAACCAGCAGTGTACTCCACAGCAAAAAGCTAGTGGAGAACAAACTCTGCCACCGTAAATAGAGGATCAGAGCCGGTCCAAGCTGGGAGGTGTGGTTTGCAATGCTCCCTACGCATCTCACCCCCTTTCCAACACAAGCTGGTAGCCATCAGTTCAGAAAGCAGCACAGGAAAACCTGCCCTTAAGCTTCCAAGGTAAATTTGTTGTAATCCTGCCTTGCACACAGCTCTGAAAGAGAAGGGCTTGTTTCTGATCTGCCTTAGGTGAGACGGGAAGAAGTGATAAGAAAGCAGATTAGCCCTGGTCTCATGCTAACTTACCTTCCCTGAGAAACTCTAGCTGTGCTTGTAGGTAGCTCTCTGCCTACCTCCCATCCAATTTCAACAAGGGAAGAGCTGGAAACTACCCCTGTGAATCCTGCCTCAAGTTTAATTCCACTTTTACAAGGCTGGAAACCTCTTTCACAAAGAGAAGGACAGAGAGTATAAGAAAAAAGAAAAGCAAAGCATAAGATGACAGGGCAAGGAGCATGTTTCCAAAGCACTGTAAAACACACCCCAGGGGTGGAGTACACATCCCAAGACTATCTCACTAAAGCAGTCAGAGATGCCACCCTCTATCCTGCCACTGACCAAAGTGTCACTCTATCCCACAGCAACCCAGAAAGGAAGCAGAGCCACCCCTGCCTGCTGACAGCTGGAGATGCTGATGGGGATTTGTCACTCAGCAGCAGCTCCAGAGCCCCCTGGCAGCATGAAGATGTCCTCAGCTGTGTCAGCTCCTACTAGTTAAGCCTGACGTCTTCTCAGGAAAGGTGACAAAGGAAAGGGGAAAAAGAGCATGTTGAGACCCTGGCCAGGCTGGCTCTTCATCACCTGGCATGATTTTGTCCTCTTTTTTCACCCTTACCCCAAATGTCTCTTTTGTCAGCCCTCAAGGATAATATTTGCTCAGAAAACAAGCTTTGCCATAGTCATGAGTGAGCAACCCTAGCCTCTACAGAGAGTAAAAAAACCCTCTTCCACCAATTTCCACTGAGAAGACTCCAGCTGATAGCTGAACAGCAGAGACCTCATCAGCCTGCAAAGAGAGGAGCTCCAAATAGCCCCATCCTACCTGCAACAAGCAGTAGCAGGACCTGCAGAAAGCAAAGGTAAAGACTGGTCCTATTAGCTTAAGATGGTTATTTCAAAACCCAGATTAAAAAATGGGCATGAAGACAACTACAAGCCATCACAGTTGTCTTTAATACAGGTTTAACAGGGCCAGAGAGCTCCCCTGAGCCATCTGAGAGGGCTCCGTGATGCCAGAGGGTAGCTCTGCTCCCCTCTGACCTCCTCAGAGGCTCGGCTTTGCCTAAGCCCCAGGACCCCACATGCTTTGGGGAAGGCTCTAGCCTTAGCAGTGTAGCTGTGGCAAAAATTCCAAACCAAACAAACCCATACCAAGTGAAGTATCTGCCTCTGAGCAGGAGAGTTTACTCACCATTTTGTTCACAGTGGCTGCAGAAGTCATGCTTAACACTGACCCATGGGCTTGGCTGGGATTCTGCTAGAACAGTACAAAAAAGCAAGCAAACTGCTTTCCTGCACCTTGCAGCCTGTCCTGTCTCTAATCTCCTCTTGGGGTTCTTTATAAAGGTTCTCTTAGTACTGACTAGAACAAAAAAGCTTATAAGACACAAAAAAATAAATATACACATTGGAGCCACATTAAAGAATCTTTAGCGTCTCATGGATAAAGGTCAGGAAACACAAAAAGTTATGGTTCCCATAGTAATGCTAATCCAACCATACTGCACATCATTGTGTATTTGGTGGTACACATTGAAAAGAAAAACCCTTCATCTACCAATGCTTAAAAGGTTTCTGATTTAGTAAAGGCACTTGAACACCACCCCCCACACGCAACATTTATTGTTCTGAGCAGTGGATTTTCAGATCGAATTGGATTAAGCCAATCTAAGCATCACTGTAGCTCCCCATATCTAGGGCAATAGCAAGAGCTCTCAAGCATGATTACAGACTGAACATTATTTGTCCAACCTGAATAGAGGAAAGGGATCCAGGCGTCAGAATGGGTTGAGTCACCAAATCGCAGTCGGCGCAGATTCTGCACTTGGATGCAGCAGGGAGGTGGTAAGGAGAGAGGGGAGAGAATGACCGACCAACCCACAACCAGTAAATGTTAATCCATTTCTATAAACACTCATTTACTTGATACTGACAGCCTGAAATATCCTCCTGCCTAGTATCCCACCTCAAAAGTCTGGAAACAGACTGTGAGTGAACTACAGCCATGCTGACCTTCCTCTGGTACAAATCTGTGTATTCTCTGTCTCCAGGCTATTGAAGTCTTACCTTCATGCTTTACATAAAGCCTGCACCACTCTTCCAAGAGGGAACAGCTACAAGTGGTCCATTTGCATTGAGCAGCTCTGACTGAGCAACCAGATTTGCATTGGAAGCGAAGGACTCTTTGTGCCATAGCAAACACATTAAATCAAAAGGGTTTGAGCACCTGTACTGGAGCAGAGGATTACTTCTCTGCTTACATGTCTGGGAGAAAGGAAGGCAGAGCAAACATCCTGTACTCCTTTAAGAGGCAAAGAGGGTGAGGAAGAAGAAAGGTAGCTCTCAAGCACAGGAACAAAGCATGCAATGGAAGAAATGTCTATTTGTAGGGGCATCCACATGTGTCCTTTTCCACCTCCAATAAATCTGAATTATCTTCCTAGTTCCCATGATCTCAGACAGAAGGGCACAGTTCAGGACAACAGGCATCTCTGAACTTCAAAAACCAGAGAGGTGAAGAGGTTCTCAGCCCTGCTCATGGAGCAACGCCAACACCAGAGTCCACAGCAGGGCACAGGAACACACAGCAGAACTCCTTCTGCCCACAGGGTTACTGGATGCCCGTTCCTTTATTCACACCCATCAGCCCCTTGCTTTCACTATCCCTTGGGGTGCACTCACCTTCCTTTTTGTGCTCCAGCATCAAGTCTCCATGTTTTAAGGAGGCTTTGCAACCCTCCCCACAGTTGCAAAGCCTGACTACTCCTTTGAGCCGCACGAATTCCAGTTGGCATGTAGCCACACCTGCCAAGGGTAACAAGGATTTGGTCATGCTTTATCTTATCTAAGCAATGATGACGCTTTTCTTGCCTCTTGGGCAAAGCTCAGTAGCTCTGCACCTGCCAAAGAGGGGAGCTGGGCAGAGCCCAGGAGCTTCAGCCTGCAGCAATGCACCCCAGAGCAGGATGGCTCTGCTGGCCTGCCTGTCCCACCCACAAAAAACAGGCACTTAGTCCACAAACAAGAACTGTGGAGAAAATAAGGCTAAGCAAAATTTACACTTCTCATCTCACCACCACCTCAGGTGCTAGCACAGGCATACAGCTCACCTTCCCTAAAAACAGTACAGCCACACTAGTCCTTGCCAATAGACGAAGCAATATTTTACAGGGAGTCAGACTACTTGTCCAGAGAGAAGACTTCAATATCTGTCCCGCTGTCAACCTACAGGTCACCTACAGCTTCAATTCACAGCTGGAGATGAGCTTGGTTTCCTCCTTGTCATTTTATAGAGGGAGAAGAAGGGAAATTGAGGCAGATAAAAGCATTACTCTTACTCACAAGATGTTTTGAATTCGATGGAGAGGGATTCAGCTACTCTAACAGTGAGGGCCACCAAGTTCCAGTATTATTCCATGTCCGCCTCCCTGCACTTGCACCTCTCCCCAGCTCCCACCATGCTCAACCAAGGCTTTACAGCTAGCCTGTAATCTCCTTCTAACCCTGCTTTTCCAGAGGCTGGACTCATCTAGCTATATCCCAACATAGCTGGATTTTTCCCAGAAGGTTTGCTTTCCATAGCCTAAATTACCTATTTATGCATTCCACAATTTTATTTTAAACAACACACACCTACCAGTTCTATTCCTCCAAAGGTCTGCAGATATGTCATTTGTTATTCATTGGAAGAACTTGAGATAGGAAGCAATAAACAGCTGGGTGTTGTTACCTTGATTGCACAGCTACAACAACTAGACATTTTTCAAGCCTTTGCTGTATTGCTTTAGCCTACATCCAGCACATGTGCTAAAGGCTAATTCTTTCAAAAGAGCTGTAGGATAGGTCTTAAGAGCCTTGTTCATAGCCTCATCTCCTCTTTGGAAACACAGGTTGCCTCAGCCCATGACACATCACCTGCTGTGAGCAGTGACAACTTTACATCTGCCAGGATCTTACCAAGAGCACAAGTTCAAGCCAGCCTCAAGCCCACACTGTGCTGGACCACCAAAGCAGATCTCCAGAGGTTCACGGCTCCCAAACACATTTTTAGAGGTCTCCTACCATCCTCTGAACAACACAAGCCTTTCCTGCAGAACTTTCAGGTATGTGTAATCCTCAAACTTCCTTCTGAACCAGGCACACCCTTCCACATAGACAGGGGCAGTAACTAGGGCAGAAAAGTGATACGAAGTCTCCTACCAGCACAGAAATTAAAACTACAGAAGCAGAGGCAACAACTCCTCCTTCAGATGACATCTCTGCTAAATTAACTGCACTCACACACTTCACTAAATAGAAAGCAGGGATGTTACAAGCCTCCTTGCTCTCAGTCTTATTATGTGACAGATTTTCTTCCAGTTATGCCAAGCAAACGAGAACACTGTACCCTTCCAAAGCATCATACCATACCCCATTTCCTCCCAAACAAACTTATGATTAAAGCCACAGTCTCTAAGAGCACAAGACAGTATTTGTTCCTGCTTCAGTGCTCTGTAACACATGGTTAAGAGAAAAACACTTGGTTAAAAAGTCCACAGGGCTTCCCAATCACGTTACCCCAACCTGAATGAAGCACACCATGGCTCCAGACTTCATTTGAAAGTCCACAGCCTACACAGAACCCAAAACAGGTATTTTTGGCATTGTTTTCTCTCAAAGCTCACAGTATTTGTTATTGTGCTTGAGGTGCCCAGGTCCTGCAGTCCAGTGAAATACTGAGATTCAAGCATT